GGGGGCCAAGAAAGGCCAAGCGAAGGCAGCTATCTCACAGATTAGCTTGACTTTAATTCTCTGGGTCCATTTGACATGGCAGGTTACATATTACCTGGTTGAATTGGCCACTGGAATTTAGGGCATGCGCAGAAGTGATTGCAGAGCGGATTGGAATGTGAGAAAAACATCTTGGCCACGCTGAGATGGGAGATGTTGCTGGACTTGGTGACCCTGTGGGCGAATCCAGCAGGAGTCCTTCTATAACTTCACCTCCCCTTAACAAATTGTCCAATTCACCTGAAAAAAAAGATAGATGAAATGTTATTACACACACACATACGCACGCACACTATTTTGTGCTGTTGCTTAGGGAACATGATAGATTTAAGCGAGTGGATCTAAGTGTTTTGATTTGTTTTGGGGGGAGCTGAGGAGTGAAATGGGTTCCTGAAGCATTAATGCAACTATTTTACCTCTTAAAGCCTTCCCCCTTTGGAAAATCAACCTGATATCTGGGGAGGGGGTCACTTGGAAGCCATCTTTGTTCTAAAGGTACTCTAAACAGGACCTCCTCAATGTCTGGCTATTATAAATGCATCTCAGTCTCTCCTTCCTCCTCCCACCACCATCAGGAGGGAGGAAGGCTTCAAGCCCCAGTGCAGAGGAGCAAGGGGGATCCCCAGGGGCTGAGAATATCCCCTCTGAACAAAAGAGCCTCTCTTTGGGTCACCTAAACACGGTGTGTGATGTGAATCAGGGCATGGGAGCACCAAGGCAGCCTGCCAGCGTGGCTTCAGGGAGCGTGAGTGTTCTGCTATCTTGGTTGCTTATCTAAAACAAGCACATGGAGCTGGATTTTAGAGCTTAACAAAATGCTGCTTGTTAACATAACAAATAATCGGTGCACTCTGTTCCCTTCCTTCACATTCGAGCACAAAGGTGCCATGAATGTAATATACCGGCTAATTTCCTGAGACATGCAGGTTTGGCCCATTGATATATCTGGGAAAGGGAGATTTAAGAATTTAATTCAAAGTATATTTACATGTAACTTAGCCTACTAAGTGTAAGATATTCCAAGAATAGGGATTGAGAGATTGATAGGTTAATTAAACTACCTCATCTTTCCACTATGGACTGTCACTCAAAGTGGCTCACATCAGTGAAAACCAATACAAAATTAAAATCCTTTAAAAGAAATACAAAATACCCCCCCACATTAAATATTAAAATGAGGGAGATACTAGAGGCAAGACTGTTTCAAGTAGATTGTGTTCGGCTTGTGGAATGAAGGAAGGTAGAAAGTAGGAAAATCTTAATCAAATGGTGAAGCACCAGCAGAGGGGCCCTGGCCTGCTCAAGTAGGGATTCCCAGTTTTGATGTTGCCCCTGAAAAGGTTCTGAGCATATTACCAAAGCAGAATCTATCCTACGCTTTGCAGGATCCGAACAATGGACAGAAGAGCATACAGATAGCCCTTGCTTAGTGAACACAATGGGGACCAGCAACTCTGTTGGTAAGCAGCATGGTTGCTAAGTGAAACATCACCTCCATGTGACTGCGATGGGTTCACTTCCACTGCAGTCATTAAGCAAATCACAGGGAGTTGTTAAGTGAGACATCACATGACTGCAACTTGTGATTTTACTGCCGGCTTCTCCATTGACTCTGCTTGTTGGAAGCCGGATGTGAAGTGCAAATGGCAATCACATGACCATGAGGACACTGCAACGGTCGTAAATGCGAGGACTGGTCAGGTGAGGGCTGGTCATAAAGTTACTTTTTCAGCACTGTTGTAACTTTGAACGGTCACTAAATGAGGTAGTTGTTAAGCAAGGTCTACCTGTACAGCAAGGGGAACATGGAAGTGCATGGAACTTCTTTTGGGATATTCCCTTTCATTCAATGCATACCCTGCGCTAATATAAAGCTTTTTTCCTTATTATTTTATTTTTGCCAATTAAGTAATTTTGACATCCCGGTAGAAATTCCAAAGCAGTTTTTGTAGAAATGTAATATGTGACTTATCCAGTTACTGTATCATTGCCAGCAATTTCGATGATTGCAGCAGTCAACCATCACTGTGTGGATAGAAAGATGGGCAGAAGGAAAAGAACAGCGAAACTGGTTCTCTGAGCCCCCAAGGGACTTGATACTTGATTTTCTCAAAGAACAGCCCTTTACACCACAGGCAAAGCTGTCTTTAAGAATGAAGGGAGTTTGTAAAATTGCCTTGTGGTTAGTTGTACTGCGGAGAAAAGGTGGAGTAGCTCTTCTGTCCAGTATCTCTGCAGCATTTTTCGTATTGCAGCATTTAAGCAGTTTCATGTTGCAAAAATTGGAGCAGAATATATGAAACAATTCAGTATCACCTTATACCATTAATTTCCTAGATAGTTCTGTGGTGGGTCATGGGGAGTGAATCATATGGGCAAAACTACAGCTGATTTACAGGTATGAACCAGTCACAAACCACTAGTAAATAGTTCAAATTTTTGTACCTCTGTTGGGGAATTTAACAGCATTGGGACAAGAGTGTGAACAGAGCCCCAGCCTGCAACTCTTTAAAGCAGCAGCAGCATAAGCTGCTACAGTTGTGCAGGTATCTGAAAAGACATGGGTGCTTTAAAGAGTTGAATATAGATGCTACATTAATGCTCCCACGTGCTCTGAAGCACTATTTTGGAATCAAAACTGATTGCACAAACCTGTTAACTAGATCTCAGAAGCTTAGGTATTAATGCTCCTGTTGGAGGCGAGAGAGGAGAGAACTGTTGGAAATGACCATGAATTTCTCCTGAACTGAAAGATTTTATTTATCAGTGGACACAGGATCCAGCAAAACAACTTGAAAGAAGGAGGCTTGGCATGGACAGCCTGTTCTTCATCAGGCTGTGAAAGCTGTGTCCAGCCTCTTTTTGATGGAGCTTGTCCTCCTGGCCAAGCTGAGTGTGTATGAAAAGGCCAAGTGTGCTGGCTGCACCAGGAGGCATTCCCACTGGAACACGAGCCCTGGACTTTGCTTTCACCATCCTGGCCACGTTGACCCTTCACGCCTTGATGGGCAGTTTCCATAGTGATGGATTAAGAATAGGGAGGGTGTGTGGCATTGTTCCCTTGCACAGGCCTGGAGCTGTTATTTGCTGGACTCATTTTTGGAAAGCTGGATGGTGGAGAGCCCCAAGTTTCCTTCTTCCTGAGAAGCCTTCTTCATTCTCACCATTCTCTGGCAAGCCCCCTCCCTGCTTTACTGAGTACTATAAATTGCTTTCTTATTCTGTAGAGTCTACTCTATTATTTCATTTTCTTATCTTTTGGTCATTAACATAACCCTGACTTAGTGGTTCAATTTGCACAACATACTAAACTAGAACGAAACAAGGTTAGGTAGTTTGTGATTCAGTGAGTTGGGTGAATCCAAGCATGGTCATAACACGCTGTGTGAACCAGGCCATCACATCTGAGTAGGGATTATCAGACTTTAAAGCCCTTTAAATGACAAATGAATTTGTGTGATTCGTCCATGGACAAAAGCTATGATTTCATTGGAACTAGGGTTGGGCAAGAAATAAGCATACCAGAACCTTTTAATAATAACATTTTAGTTTTGGTACCACAGAGTCTCTCAAACTTTGCAGTACTGCAGCTGTGCACTGCAAGCTTGCGCAGGCAAAGTTTGAAATGAGTTTTGACAATGCTGCTGCTTTGTGCAAGCCATTTTTTTTTAATTGTGTCCTCTCTAAATTGCTTGCAGTTCCCAGGGTGTGTGTGTCATGACCCACTTTTTGAGAATGCAGTCATGATCCTATATTAGAACAGTTTTTCAGACACAGCATGCTATGTGGACAGAGCATTTTTTTGACTTTATTGTGTTCAGTACATTGTGTGAACACAACCATTTTGTTCACTTTAAAGGGCAGAGATGGGGAATTGTGGGGATGGGGTGGAGAGCTCGGTGGCCCTCAGGATGTTGGACTTCATTTCCCATCAGCCCTAGCCAGCAGAGCCAAAGTCAGGGGGGTGGGAACAGTAGTTGTAGAGCAAGACTGCCATGGTTTCTTCTCACCTTCACTGGCTTTGCAAATTTTGGTTCAAAACTCCTTGACTATACAAGGTAATCCTTCCCTGGCAAGTTTAGATTTTATGAGTGCATTGCATGTGCTTTGAAAGAGAGAAAAAGTATCTTGTAGTCAGTGGAAAAAGAAACAAATCTAGCCCTACTTATGAGTTTTGCATGACGTCTTTGCATCATTGCCCCACTCTTTCTAAAAATTAAGGGTGAAATTATTGTGTGATTCCCCTCCAGAGACTGCCCATCCTATTTGTAGAATAAATAAAAAATATCTACCATACACCCTTTCAACAGAAAATACGCCAATACAATCATTCGCATATGAACTTGCTTCAGTTCTGGTTCTTAACTTCTCTAAGTCCATGCAGGACTAATTACTAGAAGACCCACACTTTAGTAGTTGAGAATAGGTTGTGAAACTATGATTATGACTTTTTTAGGAAAATACTACTGTATGTGGTTTGATAATTACTCTCTCCCACACACTTTGTTGATTATATTGCTCCAATATGTGGAGGATGTAGTTAGATATGAACATCATAATCTGTTTGAATTACTGCTGCCAAGATAAGAATTGCATGTGGTATGGTCTTAATCCTCCAGCTTTGAAAGAATTGTGTTTTAATCATAATTGCAATTTATAATAATAATATATGTATATATAAATAATAAAGCAATAATAATTACATTTATATCTGGTAAATTGTATTGATTACATTTATATTCTTCTTTCCTCTTAAGATGTTCAAAGGAGATTTTTCTCCAAGGAGATGGCAGATAATACACAGAAACTTACGAATGAGCATAATCTCCTTTGATTGTTTATGGAAATGCAAAATAGAATTTGGATATTACTTTATGAAAGAGTTTTTCAATCTTACAGCCTCTTTATGTTATGCAAAATTTCAAAAAATAACTATGCTTTTGTCATTTTCTCTCTTGTAGGATAAGTATGATGCCTCTGGGGGCATTCCTTCTCCCTGTTCTGTGCTTCCTGGGGCCAGCAATTTCACAGGAACGACAGTATGCCACCTTTTCACACAATGCCACCAAATTTATTCACTTGATTATGGATCCTGATTCAGGGACTCTGTATCTGGGGGCTACAAATTTCCTTTTTCAGCTGACCCCGGACCTGGTGGTGGAAGAAGCAGTTTCCATGGGTCCAATCTTGGACAGCAAGGACTGTCTTCCTCCTGTTTTCAAGCAGGACTGTCCCCAAGCTCAGGAGACAGACAACTACAACAAACTCCTGCTGATCAACTCGCTGGAGAAGGAACTCATTGTTTGTGGCAGTGTGTGGCAGGGAATCTGTGAGAAGAGGAGTCTTGGCTTCATTAAACATGTCCTCTTCCAACCCCGGACACCAGGAGACACTCAATATGTGGTAGCAAATGACCCCAATATTTCCACCGTGGGGCTGGTAGGATACTCCAAAGAAAATGTGCCACTTCTGTTTGTTGGCCGAGGATATACTAGTAGGGGCGTCGGAGGTAGCATTCCCCCCATTACAACTCGCAATCTCAGGGCCCATCCAGGAGAGGTGTCAGGGCCGGACTCCCACTCCATCTTTTCCTATGAGGAAACAGCAAAGCTGGCTGTGGGTCGACTCTCAGAATATAGCCACCATTTTATCAAATCTTTCACTCATGGTTCCAGTGTCTACTTCCTGTTCTACCGGCGTGATCTCAAGTCTCAGTCCCGTGAGTACAAGACCTACATTTCTAGAATCTGTCTGGACGACTCCCACTATTACTCCTATGTGGAGCTGCCCATGATCTGCCGGAACCAAGAGAAGACCTACAGCCTCTTGCAGGCAGCCTATGTTGCACAGGCAGGGGGAGAAGAAGATGTTGGAGATGCGCTTTTTGTGACCTTTTCTGCGTGGCAGGCTTCTTTGGGGAAGCTGAGTGAAGAATCTGCACTCTGTGTTTATCCAATGGAGGAAGTAGACCACTTCATAACTCAGACCAGGGACCTTTGTTATACCAAGGACGGGAAAACGGACGATGGCAGGGAGGTGGCCTATATAGAATACGATGTCAGCTCTAGCTGCGTCCAGCTCTCAGCGGTAAGTGCGCATTCACCGCATATGGGTGAAAATCTGTACAAAAGTCAGGGCCCATAGACAGTTTATTATTAAATGTTTGAATTGATTGCCATTTTCTTCTAAATACTTCCTTATTTGTTTGAGGCATGACTTTTGGACATCCTAAGTACAGTAACATTTTCTCTGGAAAAAAAAATGAATAAAACATGCAATTGGCCTTTGGGGTCCCACTTTTGGCACACCCTGTGCATGGAATTCAGAAGGTTTTGGATGGGATTCCCAGACAATTTGTCAGTCAGGCATTTCCATAACTCCCAGTCACCTTGTTTTCCAAGCTGATGATCCCCCATGTCCTTTAAGAAGTTTGCTGGGGGATATACTCCAAAAACTAGGAAGGAATACCAAGGAGGATGACGAGGATGATGATTAGACTTTTATCCCACCTATTTATTTATTTATTCATTCATTCATTCATTCATTCATTCATTCACTCATTCATTTATTTTATTTATTTATACTTGGTCAACTCAAATTGGCAAACGTACCTAATACTCCTGCCTCCTGTTTTCTTCACTACAATTTGTTTTTCTTTCATTTTCTTTTAAATGTAATTAAAAGTAAACAGCTGATTTCTAGTCATGCATTCATTCATGTTCCCCCTCTGTCATATTACAGGTATAATTTGGTACCATTGTGGGGGGGGGGGGGCAAACCCAAGGCCTTTGGGGGCTGTGGGTTAAGCTGACCGAGACTAACATGGCTTTGTCAACGTCATAACAGATGCTGTACCATTTTACTCTGCACGTAGGGCTGGATTTTCTCTTCCATCATCTCATACAAGGAAAATTGGCTCTGGTACTGGTCAGAGGAGCATTGGCCAGCTGGAAGACTTGAGAACAGAATTACCTTTTGATATTGATTGATTGATTGATTGATTATGTGCCATCAATTCATTGTCGACTCTTAGCGACCACATACAGTAGATAGCTTTTCTCCATGATGATCTGTCCCTCACTTGGTCTTTCAGGTCTTCCAACTGTGCCCCCATCGCCACTGTAACTGAGTCCATCCCCTTTGCTGCTGGTCGTCCCCTTCTTCTCTTTCCTTCCACCTTTCCCAGCATTATTGCCTTCTGCAGAGAGCTGGGTCTTTGCAGAATGTGTCCAAAATAGGATAATTTGAGCCTGGTCATTTGTGCCTGGAGTGAGAACTCTGGGTGGATTACCTTTCGATAGGGCAAATGATATTCTTTAACTTCTCCATTATCCTGTAGAGGCTCACCAGTTATAAGGAAGACATACTCTCCTATGGAACAGTCTCTACCCGTGTACTTGCCGGACTCATAGACTTAACTTAGAAGGCAGATATGGCTCTCACGTGGTTCCCCTTGGCTGCTCTGTTTTTAAAGACCTCGCTCAAGAGGTTGTACCAAGCTCAGCGCAATATGCCTAGGATTTATGACCACCATTCAGCCGCACTGCCCCGTTGGTTCCCAGAGGGAACTCATAGGACCCTTTCTGTTGGAAAGACTGGATGGCAGCTGGCCAGCCAGCTTAGAATCAGTCACTCTTCACTGATAGATACTGGGGGCCTGATTCTGCCCACAGGTCACTCCTGATCTAGCTTATGAATGATCTGCTTTGTTGATCCCAGAGAAAGAGTTACTAAAACTGGTATAGAGGTGGATGAAGTCCAAAATTCTGTTTTTGTAATTGAGGTAATAGACCCCAATAGAGGTTTTTCAATATAAAAGCATTCTTCCTCTTGTGTTCCTGAGCATTTGGCACTGAGAAGCATATTGTCTTTGATACTGGAGGAGGTGTGTAGCTGTCATGGGTACTGGCAGCTTTATGTCTATTAATTTTTCTAGTCCCCTTTTAAAACTGTCCAGGCTTCTGCGGTTTGATTAATGTTCCAAGCAAAGAGGTTCTTCTTGCCTGTTCAGAATCTCTCACAATTCAACTTCTCTTGATAAGGGAGGGAGAGAACCTTGCCTACCACGAGTTAAACATGAGCCGGACCATGATGCAGCAGCTAAAAAGGCAAATGTTGTTTTGGGGTTCATGATCAGCTGTGTAGAGTCTAACTAACGGAAAATAATGGTTCCACTCTACTTCACCCTGCTCAGATTCCATGTGGAGTATTGGGTCCAATTTTGGGCACCGCAGTTGCTCATCTGTCAGAGATGCTCTACTGCAGTGTTTGTCAACCTTGGCATCTTTAAGATGTGTGGACTTCAACTCCCAGAATTCC